AATCATTTAAAATGGAGTAACAAATAATATGAGCAATGTGAATGTTCATTAACTAGCCCATTAAATACTTAGGCGTAAAACGTAAGTACTGTGTAGATTGCTAATTGAGCTACATTGAAGCAACACACAAAATTATTACTAAATTCTTTTATTAGTGAAGTATAATTAAATCGTGCATCTCGTTCATAGAATTCATATACTGACAAAATAATATAATTACATATAATAATTTAGTATAACATGCCATTAAAAACATCAAATGGGAATGAAAAATTCTTTTGTCCCCGCCAACTATTTTGGGTGAGGAAAAAAAATTCTGAAATATACTATATAATATTTGTTTTTCTTGAAATGAAAAATGAGAAATGCTATATTTTCCACGTCTATTGTTTGTTGTTCACATCTAATTTTATGTACACTCTCTTTGAAGAGTATATATACAGTCAATAGTATGTAAGAGTAAAGAGTAAAACCTACTCAAATTTAGAACAATTGGAACACATCTTATATGAGAGGTAGGGTCATGAATCATGAGTTGAGATAAGTGGGAGAAGGAGAAATTGTAATTGACAAAAAGTAATTGAGACCACACATGCTATGCCCACAACCACATTGTAAGAAAGATTCCCCTCGAAACTTAGCAATCAAAACAAGGAGATCTACAGTATTTCTGTGTTTTCCTCAAATAATACAGCACACAAATTAATAAGTTAAATCTTTATTTGTCTTCTTTTTATTATTGGCATTTTAATAGTTTTCTATTTTCCACATAATTAGAATTTTTTTCTTTTGTCAAAAGAAAAAACTTATTACAAGTAGAGTTTTCAAGGTTACTGTTATAGATACATACATTTTGAAGTTTAAATTTAGTTACATTTTGCACTAGTTATTAAATTTTAGAATATTGCTTATAAAGTTACTCTTTGTACCATTAATTAAATCAAGATCTTTAAAGAAAATGTTAACAGGGAGTAAATCATCAAAACTTTGAATTTTGGAGCAATGACTAAATCTCCCAATAACCATTTTTAACTAGAAGAAATATCTACACTCTAGGTGTTCTTAAAAGAGCTAGTATTATATAAGTCACTATAGTGATAAATCTAACCCGTAAGGTATATCAAATTCAGATTGATTCCGACCCTAACTAAAGATATTGAATGAGGCAATTGCAGCCTTTTTCAGTAATATATTATCTTTGTTTCATACTTTTTTTTGTTTTAAAGTTAAAAATTTGTTTCATATTATTTATCGTTTTTTATTTTCAATGTAGATTTATGATTAATTTTTCATCTTTATCTATATTTTTAATTTATTAATCACTCATATCAAACAAAACAATATATTAATGGGTAATTGGGTTATATAACCAACAAAAAAATATAATTCAAAATCTAACCAATTAACCTAATTTCATTGGAAAAGATTATGCCACATGGGTTAATTTTGGCTAGTTTTCTAGTTATTAATTTTTTTTGGTTATTGGGCAAATTAGTTC